ATGATTTTTATATAGGTTCGGGCCCCTGAATTGTCAGGTAATAACCCTACATCCTGTTGGCCGAAGCCGGTATTGCTCTTATTCACCATAATCACACCAGTACAATATTTGAGGTAGCCTATCTAACTGTTGTCGACATGGCGGTCTGAAGGTCTGACTCGTAGTCGACAACAGGGTAGTCTTCCTCCTCGAATCCATGCCCGGCGAGATCAGAGATAGCGCTTTCGTCTCTCCTGACAGTATCCGGAGACACCGTAGGGGACTAGCCGTGCTTATCCCTGAAATCGATATCCGGCGTCTTGTCTTGGCGTATGTTGGCTTGTATTGGCTTTGTGGCGTCTATGTTGCCCGTGTCTTCTATGGTGGGTGTGTTGATTGTCTCTTCTATGGTGGGTATGTGGATTGTCTCTTCTCCTCCTAGGGGGCCTTGTATTTATACCTATAGGTGTCCCTTGTCCAAGTAGAACTAGGGAAACCAATATGGATACAATCCGAGTAGTCCTTGTCGTTTCCATGTAGAACTCTGGTTGTCTTCCCTTATCCGAAACTCCTCATATATCCGCAGGTTGTTTCCGTATAGTATATGGTATGTGGTGGGTCATGCCGAGATTTAGTCAACTACTATTAGGTATGTGGTATCCATAACCCTGACAAATATATTAAGTAGTGATCATTGAGTGAAGGTTGAGTTTTGTTTAGTATTTCTACCATTGCAGTTTCACCGTTCATCGGTTTATGGAATTCCAATTTCAAGTTTTTGATTAATCATTCATCTGCAATTGAGTTGTTGTCTTTCTTGTTATTGCTTGTGTTATTCGAATCTGCACGCAGGGATTAGCTTTTCTAGCAAGGCTGATCGGGTTTTGGCATAACCAGATGAGACATGATACTATGATTGCATAGTTTGGATCGTGTCGATTGGAAACCGAATCGTGTGCGCCAAGTTTTCGCCAAATCGATAGTTGTCCTCACTTGACAGAAGATCAGGCATCCCGTGGCAATCAACCACCTAAGGTAGATATTTTCATTTATGGTTGGCCGGCGTATATATAATCTCTGTACCAACAACTTATAAGTTATATACAGTTTTTATCTTTCTCAAATCAGAAAATCAAAATCCCTGAAATTAGCGGACGATTCTCGTCGATCGAATTTCATAGATTTTGGTCTCTTTGGTCATGTTAATAGATTGATCATTCTATTGTATTTTCTCTTTGCGAGTATACAGGTGATAACAATACATTTTGGTCTGTACTTTTTGCAGAAGCAGAACTACGTGTTGGCATCCATATAATGGTAAAATTCGAACAGAAAAAACAAAATCTGTACAAGCAATCACAAATCCTAACCCAAAATAAACCCTATCCAAAACTACAGTGCAGCTATTTTCTTCAAGAAACACACACTGGGCAAGAATTCACAAGCCATACAAGCTGTTCGTCTGATCCATGGATGGATCACGACTTGAACGAGCTGTTTGAGCTTCCCATGGACTTGAGGTCCTTGTACGGCCCCGACGACGTCAGCTCCTGCTCCATCCCCCCGGCGCGCCGCCGCCGCCGCCGTCTCTGCCACAGCCGGTGACCCACGTACGCTCCGGCGACGGCCAGGCTCGCCAGGATCAGCGACAGCGCCGCCGTCACGGCCTTCGCGCCGGGCGACATGCCCCGCCGCGTCGAGCTCCGCGGCGGCCTCCTGACCTTGAAGTAGCCCACCTTCCGGTCGTCGGCCTCGTACACCATCGTCTCCACGGGGAAGTCGAGGAGGTAGCAGTAGCCGCTCGCGCCGCTGTGCACCGCGCCCCAGCAGCTGCAGTTGCCGGCGCACGCCTGCTCGCACTGCTCCGCCGTCGCGTTCGCCTCGAACGGCAGCCGCTCCTTGTACGCCACGGACACCCGCTTCAGCCGGACCTCGTCGAACACCTGGCCGCCGTCGCTGTCGCCGTCGCCGCAGAGGTCGGTGGTTTCCTCGGCGCTGCACGGTGGGGAGGTCGCGGTGCTGTTGGTGAGGCACTGGCACTTGGCCTCGCCGCCGCCGGGGACGCACAGGCCGTACGCGCCGCACGAGGTCGGCAGCTCGCACGGCGCCGTGATGGCCTTGTAGTCGGCGGTCCATGCCTTGGCGTCGTCGGTCCAGTAGTACGCGCGGAGGTTGCCGTCGTCCTCCAGCGTCATCCGCCGGAACGCGCCGGTGAGGTTCTGCACGAACGTGTCGAACGACAGCACGTCGACCTTCTCGCCGCTGCCCTGGAGGTACAGCCCGAAGAAGCCCCGGCCGTCGAGGCAGCCGTACACCGGCGGCTGCGTGGCGTTCTCCGGCTGCGCCTCGAGCGCCGTGTGCTGCCAGTACATCGGCGTCGCCCTCCCGCCGTAGAACTCCATGTGCAGCGACATGTACGTCTTGGCGAGCCGCAGCGCGAAGCGGCGGTTCCCGGAGATGAGCGGCGGCGACGACACGGTGAGGTTCTGGTCCAGGACGAGCGTGTCCGACGGGTTGTCGAAGCTCTGCCACGCCGGCCGCGTCTCCGCGAACCGCCGGACGACGAGGTTGGACGAGTTGAGCAGCACGACGGTGTCGCCGATGGCGTTCAGCGTCTGCCACAGCACGCCGGCGGCGTCGTCGGCGCCGGCGAGGACGAGGCCGGTGTCGAAGGTGAGCGTCGCCGGGCGCGACCAGTCCCCGACGCGCGCCGGCGTGGCGCGCCAGACCGGGAATGACGAGGCGAGGTGCACCACGGCGAGGTCCAGCGACGCCGCGCCGACGCGGAGGAACCCGAAGGCGAAGGCGCCGTTGGCCGCGTACAGCACCGGCTCGAACGGCGCCGGCGCGTCCGGCGAATGCCTCGCCGTGAAGCCATTCGACAGCTGCGTGACGCGCCCATCTCCCTTGGCGCCGTCGACGACGGCAACCATCACCGCCGACGCCACGCAGAGCGCCGCCACTACTCCGGCGATCGCCGGATCACCTTTGTCTAACCTCATTTCATCGACACGACAAAAGAAACCTCAAACGACTCGGATTTCGGACAGAGTAGCGCACACTACATACATAGTCATATATAAGCATCACAAGAAGAAGGTCAACGGCCGGTGAGAAATGAGAATGCACCTCCATTTGGAATAAATCCACGGCCAAATTAATTAAAGAATGAGAATTAACATGCCAATGGAAACCTTTGCATCATCTGCAAGCTGTAGTTAAGTTGGGACTAATCTAGTGGCAGCCATGCATGCAGTGTGTGTATGAACTGTCCAAAAGTCAACCCTTCGTTTCTCTGCCTACCATTATCTGATTCTCTCTCCGTTGAATGGCCCATTAGGATCAGTAGTAAACGTGGTAAAAGATTTGATATTGCTTGGTGGATTGCTGCTTGTTCATACTTCACATATGTGCAGCAACTAGCAATTGTTAAACATTCAGGTGTCGACATCATTCAGTTCATCAGACAAAGTGATTAACCGGTGAGATCTCTTGTTTGTGCAGGCGTTTACTTAGTTTAGCTTGCTTGCAGATGCATATCGGTGTGCCGAGTATTTGTTAAATCTGAATGTCCAGTTGACCTCGAACGGCTTGAAAAGAACTCAAATAATGTAAAATATATTCCTCAGATTGTTTATTGAGCAAATCAGTCACCTGTCATATAAGGATATGTAATATTCACCGTATGGCATTTGCAGATTTCTTTTCTCTGTTGGAAATCTCAACCAAGACTTGTATATGAATGAAGATTGAAGAGTCCTGTGTGCCATTTCAATTCCTCGGTTTTCGAATAATTATCGCTATTCAGTATTACTCTCTCTCTCTTTGACGTACCGTAGAGAAATTAGGGATATGGTTTTTCTACACCTAGGTGTACACTAGGTTACAATGAACGTAAATTCTAGTATGATTGTATTCATAACGCTGCACACTTCAATAATATAACATTTTTCTAAGTTTTTTTTTCCCAAGAGAATAAACAGTCAAAGTTTGAGATTGAATAATAACATTGAGTTACTATTCGAGAACGGAGGTGGTAATAAGACAAGCCAAAATTTTCTGCAAAGAAATGATCAAATGAAGTACTAGAAGTACATGGTTTCTAGAGAAGTCCTTACTGGAATTGCTTTAAGTTGACTTTCCAAAGTTGGGAAATTGCACCCTTTTTTTTTCTAAGGAAGAACATATGCTGAGCTTTATTTGGATATTGGAATCTAATGGTTCTCCCCATGTTATAAGATATGGAATCACTTTGGAAAATGAAGAGCTACAGCTTTGGGGTCAACTTCATGTCTTCAATCCCCTCTTGCCGGCCGTATGTACAAGGTGCTTAAACTTCATGTCTATGATCCAAGTTAGATTAGGTGCTTAAACTCTAAGGTTGCAGTGTATTGCAGGATTGAAAGAATGCCAATTCCATTAGATTCTACAACGGGTACAAATTTACAAGCTGTTACTGCAGCATGTAAGTATAATTGTTGCCATATTAATTTGTTCTGTGGTCTGAAGTCTAAACAGTTCTGTAGTATAGTGAAAGAGCACACGAAGCATGTAGTAGAAAAAGAGCACACAAAATTCATCAGAGCTTCAGATGACCAATACATGTAACAATCAGTTCCAATTTTATTTCTTTCATGTCAAATTTCAAACTCTCATATTCAAATAACCCATATAAACCAATAATCAGGCGAAGTAAAAAAGAAGTATCGAATCAGTTCAAGAAAAAATAATTATGGCCTTTTCACATTTCCTTTTTATTTTTGAGAAACACATTTCAATTTTTTAGGAAGGCCAGATGGCTCGACTTGTATTGAAACTCTGAGAGCCAGACTGCCAGATAGGGCTAAAATAAATAATAGTATATCACATGGTAGAAGAGAATTAATTTATAATGGAGAGGGAGGAAAAAAAACTCTCATATATTAAATATTAGTATTCATCGCGCTGTATTTTCACAAAAAAAAACAGTTTCTTCTTTTTTCTACATTGTACTGTCAATAAAAATTGCGTTTGATTAACAACTAAGGTGCTTGTCCGTCGGGCGCGTCGTCTTGGTCGTCGTCGTCGGCGGCGGGCAGCTTATGGCGGCACAGCGGGCAGAAGCGGCTCCGCGCCAGCCAGTCGGCGAGGCACGCATGGTGGAAGCTGTGCCCGTACGAGCACGGCATCACGCTGATGTCATCGCCCACCTCGTAATCCTCGATGCATATCACGCATTGCGCCGCAGCCCCGCCGCCGCCCCCGCAGCCGTGCTTGCGCTTCTCCAGCGCCGCCACCGCCGCTGCCGAGGCCGGCCGTTGTCTTCCGGACCTGGGGGCGCCGCCGCCGTTTGCGCCGCCGGCGGCGTTGGCGCGGTAAGCCCGTAGTAGCTCGCCAAGCCTTTGGATGAGAATGGTTTGTCCGTCGCCATTGGTGGTGCCTTGTCGCCGCCTCATCGCCGCTTCTTGCAAGAAGCTCATCGTCATCGCTTCCAATGGCGCCGGCGGCGCATTGCCGGCGGAACCGGGCGGCGGAAGTTCGGCCGGCGGAAGCGGAACCGGGAGCTCGTCGTCTCCGTGATGGAGGCTTGAGCCGGCGTCGTCCGTGCTGCCTACGATAATGGTGTCCTCGTAGCTGTGACTCTCAACGGCGCCCATGGCGAAGCCGCCGCCGTCGTCGTCGTCGCCATTGCGGACCTCGCCATGCTCGGCTCCTCCTTGCCCTGATCCACCTCCATTGTCGCCGTTCCCGAGTAGGAAACTGGCATACTGGCTCAGCGCGTCGCTGTCTTCTTCCTCGCCGTCTCCTTCCCCGTCGCCGCCGTCGCCATTAGCGGCGGCGGCAGGACGATCAATGCCGCCGTCGCCGTCGTCGTCGTCGCTGTCTCCGAGGCGTTGGTAAGCTTCTAGTAGCGTCACTAAGTTGTCGAACGCGGTGGCGGTCGCCATGGATGATGGTTCATGATCGGTGCCGGCAGAATCGCTTTCGGTGCGTCGTGTTCCGTCGACGTCGTCGTCGTTGTCCATAGTCAAAAATTTAAAATCCGATCAGTTTAATTTTGGACTATATATTTATTTATATCTAACAACTGGATCATGGATCTGTTTGTTTTGATTTGATTTGCTCCCGTATCGCGTGTAATCTGCTACTGCTGATTAAACTTATAGAGAGATATACGACGTGAATACGTGCGTGACTACGAGAGTTCGTGTCGGAGGGGGATGCGTACCGGAATTGGCGTACGGCCGTACGTGCAGCTCATGAACCGTACCACTACCAAATACGGCGTATGTGTAGAAGGATTCTGTTTCGGGGTTTTCGTTTTTAGATTTTTTTTAATATTTACAGAAATAATCTATCGACCAAAAAAATTGCAGAAATAGCCCCTGCCGCTCTAATGGTGGGCGGCAAGCTGAGGTGGCAGACGGTGGGTCGACCGCGCCGTCTGCCGCCGTCGGCCAAAATTGCGATTAGGCCCTTGCCGCCCGTACAGAGGGCGGCAAGGGGCTAATTGCAATTTTGGCCGNCCATAAAGAGCTTGCGGCCGTACTTTTTTC